CCCCCCCGTGTCCCCTCTGTGTCCCTTTGGTGTCCCCAGGTCCCCTCTGTGTCCCCACCCTGTGTCACCTCCCTGTCCCCAAGTCCCCTCCATGTCACCATCGTGTCCCCTCCCTGTCCCCAAGTCCCCTCTGTGTCCCTTTGGTGTCCCCAGGTCCCCACAGTGCCGCCTCAGTGTCCCCAAATTCCCCCCCCGTGTCCCCTCCATGTCCCCATTGTGTCACCAAGTCCCCTCCATGTCACCGTCGTGTCCCCTCAATGTCCCCATCGTGTCCCTTTGGTGTCCCCAAATCCCCGCGGTGCCACCCGCGCTGTCCCCAAATCCCCCCTGTGTCCCCTCCAGGTCCCTTTTTGTGTCCCCACCCTGTGTCACCTCCCTGTCCCCAAGTCCCCTCCGGGTCCCTTCCTGTGTCCCCACGGTGCCACCTCCATGTCCCCAAGTTCCCTTCATGTCCCCAAGTCCCCTCCGTGTCCCTTTGGTGTCCCCAGGTCCCCGCGGTGCCACCCTCGGTGTCCCTTTCCTGTCCCTTTGGTGTCCCCAGGGCCTTTTCTGTGCCCTCTCCGTGTCCCCAGCCCATGTCCCCAAGTCCCCTCCATGTCCCATCATTCCCTCCTTGTCCCTTTGGTGTCCCCAAGTCCCCTCCAGGTCCCTTCCAGTGTCCCCTCTGTGTGCCCACTGTGTCCCCATCCCTGTCCCTGCCATGTCCCCTCCTGTCCCCATCCCTGTCCCTGCCATGGCCCCTCAGTGTCCCCATCCCTGTCCCTGCCATGTCCCTCCTGTCCCCATCCCTGTCCCCTGTCCCTGTCTCCTCAGTGTCCCCATCCCTGTCCCATCTCTGTCCCCATCCGTGTCCCCTCAGTGTCCCCGTGTCTGTCCCCGCAGTGTCCCCCCCGTGTCCCGTGTCTGTCCCCATCCCTGTCCCCGTGTCCCGTGTCTGTCCCCTCAGTGTCCCCCCCGTGTCCCGTGTCTGTCCCCATCCCTGTCCCCGTGTCTGTCCCCGCGTTGCCATGGCCACGGCGGAAAATAGGACACGGGGAGGGGCCGGGGGACACCGGACACGGGGACACGGGGACAGCGATGGGGACACCAGACACAGACACGGGGACACGAGGGGGACATGGGGACACTGACAGGGACACCAGACACAGACACTGACATGGGGACACGGGGACAGCGATGGGGACACCAGACACTGACATGGGGACAGCGATGGGGACACCAGACACAGACACAGACACGGGGACAGGGACACCAGACACAGACACAGGGACACAGGGACAGGGACACCGGACACGGGGACAGTGACAGGGACACCAGACACAGGGACAGTGACAGGGACACCAGACACAGACACGGGGACACAGGGACACCGGACACGGACACAGGGACACAGGGACACCGGACACGGGGACACGGGGACAGGGACACCAGACATGGACATGGGGACAGTGACAGGGACACCAGACACGGACACAGGGACAGTGACAGGGACACCGGACAGGGACACTGACATGGGGACAGTGACAGGGACACCAGACACGGACATGGGGACACGGGAACAGAAGGGACACAGAAAGGGACCCAGGGGACACCGGACACGGACAGGGGGACATTGACAGGGACAGGGGGACAAGGGGGAGGACACTGACACGGACAGGGGGACACGGGGACACGGGGACACCAGCACAAACATGGGGACACCGGACACAGACACGGGGACAGCGAACATGGGGACAATGAAATGGAGATGGGGACAATGATGGGGCATTGACACAGACAGGGGGACAATGGAATGGACAGGGGGACACTGACAGGGACACGGGGACATGGGGACAATGGAATGGACAGGGGGACAATGACGGGGCATTGACACAGACCGGGGGACAATGGAATGGACAGGGGGACACTGACAGGGACACGGGGACATGGGGACAATGGAATGGACAGGGGGACACCGACAAGGACACGGGGACATGGGGACACCGGACACGGGGACATGAACATGGGGACACCGGACACGGACAGGGGGACACGAGGGGGACATGGGGACACTGACAGGGACACCAGACACAGAGACACCGGACACGGGGACACCGGACACGGACAGGGGGACACTGACAAGGACACGGGGACAATGAAATGGACACAGGGACACCGGGACACGGACAGGGGGACATGAACATGGGGACACTGACAGGGACACCAGACACAGAGACACCGGACACGGGGACACCGGACACGGACAGGGGGACACGGGGACACTGGACACAGGGACATGGGGACATGGGGGGGACACAGGACACAGACACGGGGACAGGGGGACACCAGGCATGGACAGGGGGACAATGGAATGGACACGGGGACACGGACACGGGGACACCGGACACGGACAGGGGGACACGGGGACACTGGACACAGGGACATGGGGACATGCACCTGGTGCTCGCCCGGAACCGCCCGGAACCGCCCGAACCCCCCCGAACCGCCCCCGAAACCCGCCCGAACCGGGCCGAAGCCTCTCCGAGCCCACCCGAAGCTTCTCCGAGCCCACCCGAAGCCGCCGAGCCCACACGAAGCCTTCCCGAGGCGGCCGAACCCACCCGAGGCTTTTCTGAGGCGGCCGAACCCACCCGAACCCTCTCCGAGCCTTTCCGAGCCCACCCGAAGCCGCCGAACCCAGCCGAAGCCTCTCCGAACCCATCCGAAGCTTTCTGAGGCGGCCGAACCCACCCGAGGCTTTTCCGAGCCCACCCGAAGAGGCCGAACCCAGCCGAAGCCTTTTCGAGCCTCTCCGAACCCACCCGAAGCTTTTCTGAGGGGGCCGAACCCACCCGAAGCCTTCCCGAACCCACCCGAAGCCGCCGAATCCATCCGAACCCACCCGAAGCTTTCTGAGGCGGCCGAACCTACCCGAATCCTCGCGGTGGCCCCGGTGGCCCCGGCGGTGGCCCCGCGATGGTGGCGGCCCCTCCGGCCGCCGCCGCCGCCATGCGCCGGGGGTTCCTGGTGCCCGAGATCCGCCCGCTGGACCAGTACGACGGGGCTCGGGCTCGCAGCGCCGCCAGCCTGGCCTGGGCCATCGCCACCGGCTACGGCGGCGCCGGTAGGAGCGGGCGGGGAGCGGGGACGGGAGCCGGGGATGGCCCGGAGGGCGTGGGGGGAGGTTATGGGTACGGGGGAGGGGTCCCGGTGGTACCGGAGGGGTCCCGGTGGTACCAGAAAGGAGGTTCCGACACTGGGGAGGGGTCCCGGTGGTACCGGAGGGGTCCCGGTGGTACCAGAAAGGAGGTTCCGACACTGGGGAGGGGTCCCGGTGGTACCGGAGGGGTCCCGGTGGTACCAGAAAGGAGGTTCCGACACTGGGGAGGGGTCCCGGTGGTACCGGAGGGGTCCCGGTGGTACCAGAAAGGAGGTTCCGACACTGGGGAGGGGTCCCGGTGGTACCGGAGGGGTCCCGGTGGTACCAGAAAGGAGGTTCCGACACTGGGGAGGGGTCCCGGTGGTACCGGAGGGGTCCCGGTGGTACCAGAAAGGAGGTTCCGATCTGGTACCGAGGGGTTCCGGCACTGGGGAGGGGTCCCGGTCCCGGTCCCGGTCCCGGCGGGCTGCGCTCGAGGGGGGGCGGGGCGAGATTGAATTTGGGGAGGGGTCCCGGTTAATATTTGGGGGAGGGATCCCCGTTAATATTTTGGGGGGGGTCCCCAATCCCGGGGTTCCCCCCCCTCCCCCCGCCCGCTTTTTTTGCAGTCTTGGGGGGGGGGGGGGGCTGTGACGTCGCGCTGTGACGTCACAGGGCGGGACCCCCCCTTTAAGCCCCGCCCCCTGCGTCTCCATGACCAATTTTAGGGTCTCCATGGCCAATTTTGAGGTCTCCAGGGTCAATTTTGGGGTCTCTGTGGTCACTCTTGGCGTCTCCAGGTGGAATTTTGGGGTCTCCAGGTGGAATTTTGGGGTCTCCATGACCAATTTTGGGGTCTCCATGGCCAATTTTGGGGTCTCCAGGTGGAATTTTGGGGTCTCCAGGTAGAATTTTGGGGTCTCCATGGCCAATTTTGGGGTCTCCATGAATAATTTTGGGGTCTCCAGGTAGAATTTTGGGGTCTCCATGGCCAATTTTGGGGTCTCCATGACCAATTTTAGGGTCTCCATGGCCAATTTTGAGGTCTCCAGGGTCAATTTTGGGGTCTCTGTGGTCACTCTTGGCGTCTCCAGGTGGAATTTTGGGGTCTCCAGGTGGAATTTTGGGGTCTCCAGGTGGAATTTTGGGGTCTCCATGGCCAATTTTGGGGTCTCCAGGTGGAATTTTGGGGTCTCCACGACCAATTTTGGGGTCTCCAGGTAGAATTTTGGGGTCTCCATGGCCAATTTTGGGGTCTCCAGGTGGAATTTTGGGGTCTCCAGGTGGAATTTTGGGGTCTCCATGACCAATTTTGGGGTCCCCGTGGTCATTCTTGGGGTCTCCATGGCCACTTTTTGGGGTCTCTCTGGTTTTTGGGGTCATTGCTGGGGTCTTCTGGGGTTCGTGGTATCCATGGTGGGTCAGTGTCCGTCTGTCTGTCCATGGCGTGTCCATCAGTCAGTGTCGTCTGTCCGTCAGGTGGAATTTTGGGGTCTCCAGGTGGAATTTTGGGGTCTCCAGGTAGAATTTTGGGGTCTCCATGGCCAATTTTGGGTTCTCCATGGCCAATTTTGGGGTCTCCATGGTTCTTGGGGTCTCCATGGCCACTTTTTGGGGTCTCTGTGGTTTTGGGGTCTCCGTGGTCATTGCTGGGGTCTTCTGGGGTTCGTGGTATCCATGGTGGGTCAGTGTCTGTCGGTCAGTGTCTGTCCGTCTGTCCACGGTGGGCCCCAGATGACCTTTGAGCCCACTGATCCCACTTTTAACCCTTTCTTTCCCATTTTAAACCCCTTCTTTCCCATTTTAACCCTTCCTTTCCCATTTTAACCCTTCCTTCCCCTCTTTTAACCCATTTTTAACCCTTCCTTTCCTATTTTAACCCTTTCTCTCCTGTCTTTAAAAATTTCTTTCCCACTTTTAACCCTTTCTTTCCCACTTTAACCCTTCATTTCCCAATTTTAACCCTTCCTTTCCCATTTTTAACCCATTATATCCCATTTTTTCACTGAAATTCCCCATTTTCTTCCCCAACCCCCCCATTTTTTCAACGAAATCCCCATTTTTCACCCCAATCTCCCCCCCAGGCAGCTGCGGGACCCCTTCCACACCCACCCCGTGTGCCCAGGGTCCCACACTCCCTTTCAACCCTTTTTTTCCCACTTTTTACCCATTTTTAACCCTTATTTTCATATTTTTAACCCTTTCTTTCCCACTTCCAACCCATTTTTAACCCATTATATCCCATTTTTTCACGGAAATTCCCCATTTTTTCCCCCAAACCCCCCATTTTTTCACTGAAATTCCCCATTTTTTCCCCCATCTTTCCCACTTCAACCCCATTTTTAACCCATTATATCCCATTTTTTCACCGAAATCCCCATTTTTCACCCCAATCTCCCCCCCAGGCAGCTGCGGGACCCCTTCCACACCCACCCCGTGTGCCCAGGGTCCCACACTCCCCTTTTAACCCTTTCTTTCCCACTTTTAACCCTTTCTATCCCATTTTTCATTCAAATTTCCCATTTTAACCCTTTCCTATCCATATTAACCCCTTTTTAACCCTTTCTTTCCCACTTCCAACCCATTTTTAACCCATTATATCCCATTTTTTCACGGAAATTCCCCATTTTTTCCCCCAAACCCCCCATTTTCTCCCCCAAACCCCCCATTTTTTCCCTGAAATTTCCCATTTTTAACCCTTTCTATCCCATTTTTCACCCAAATTTCCCATTTTAACCCTTTCTTATCCATATGAACCCACTTTTAACCCTTCCTTTCCCCACTTTTAACCCTTCCTTTCCCACATTAACCCACTTTTAACCCTTTTTTTCCCACTTCAAACCCATTTTTAACCTGTTCTCTCCCATTTTCTCCCCCAAATCCCCCATTTTAACCCTTTCTTTCCCATGTTAGCCCATTTTAACCCTTCCTTTCCCATTTTAGCCCTTCCTTTCCCACTTTTAACCCTTTCTTTCCCACTTCAACCCCATTTTTAACCCATTATATCCCATTTTTTCACTGAAATCCCCCAATTTCTCCCCCAAATTTCCCGTTTTCTCCCCATTTTTCACCCCAATCTCCCCCATTTCCCCCCCAGGCAACGTCCCCGAGGAGCTGCGGGACCCCTTCTACACGGACCAGTACTCGCAGGAGCACCTGAAGCCGCCGGTGGAGCGGCTGCTGCTGGCGGCCGACATCTACTGCCGCGCCTGGGGCCACGCCCTGGCCCCGCCCCGCCAGGCCCCGCCCCCCGAGCCGCCGCCCCGCGACCTGGGGGCGCTGCTGGCGCTGCTGGCGGGGAGGGGGCTGCGCCCCACCCTGCAGGGGGTCCCCGTGCGCCCCCAGGACCTGCAGCACCGCCCCATCCGCATGGTACTGGCACCACTGGGAGCACGGGGAGCGACTGGGAGCCGTTACTGGGAGCACTGGGGAGGGGGCTGCGCCCCACCCTGCAGGGGGTCCCCGTGCGCCCCCAGGACCTGCAGCACCGCCCCATCCGCATGGTACTGGCACCACTGGGAGCACTGGGAGGGACTGGGAGCACTGGGAGCACTGGGAGGGGACTGGGAGGGCAGTGGGGGCCCTGGGAGCCGTTACTGGGAGCACTGGGAGCCCTTACTGGGATCTTACTGGGAGCTGTTACTGGGAGTACTGGGAGATGACTGGGACCTTACTGGGATCTCACTGGGAGCCGCCCGTGCCCCCCCCCCCGTTAATCTCATTAATCTCATTAATCTCATTAAGGCCCCGCCGCTTTAATTGCCGTTAATTGGCTCAGCCCGATCCCATTAACCCTCCCCGCCCGTGGCCACGCCCCCTTTCCCATGACCACGCCCACTCATTCATAACAACGAGCGTGTCTTACCTGGCCACGCCCCTTCGCACTGACCACGCCCACTCATTCATAACAACGAGCGTGTCTTACCTGGCCACGCCCCTTCGCACTGACCACGCCCACTCATTCATAACAACGCTCGTGTCTTACCTGGCCACGCCCCCTCCTCCTTGGCCACGCCCCCGCGGGTCCGGGAGGGGCGGGGGAGGCGCCGGGAGCCCCAAAATGCCCCAAAAATGCCCCAAAATCCTCCCAAAATCTCCCCAAAATGCCTCAAATTGCGCGGGTCCGGGAGGGGCGGGGGAGGCGCCGGGAGCCCCAAAATGCCCCAAAAATGCCCCAAAATCCTCCCCAAATCTCCCCAAAATGCCTCAAATCGCCCAAATTCCCCCAAATCTCCCCAAAATCCTCCCAAAATCCCAATTTTCCCCCCAAATTTTCCCAAAAATTCCCAGTTTTTTCTCCCCAAACCCCAAAATTTCCCCCAAATTCCTCCCTCAAGACCCCAAAATCCCAAATTTCTTCCCAAAACCCCAACATTTCTACCAAAACCACAAATTTCCTCCTCCAGAACCCCAAAACCTCAATTTTTCCCCCAAGTCCCCAGTTTGTCACCCAAACCCCGAAAATTTCCCCAAAATATCCCCCCAAAATCCCAATTTTTCACCCAAAATTTCCCACAAGACCTCAAAAATTTCTTCCCAAAACCCCAACATTTCTACCAAAACCACAAATTTCCTCCTCCAGAACCCCAAAACCTCAATTTTTCCCCCAAGTCCCCAGTTTGTCACCCAAACCCCGAAAATTTCCCCAAAATATCCCCCCAAAATCCCCAATTTTTTCCCCAAAATCCCCATTTTTCCCCCATATTTTTCCCTTAAGACCCCAAAACCCCCAATTTTTTCCCCCAAAACCCCAAATTTTCCCCTAAACCCCCAAATTTCCCCCAAACCTCCAAATTTTCCCCCAAATCACAAAAATTTCCCACCCAAACCCCAAAAGTTTCCCAAAAATTTGTCCCCAAAACCCCAAATTTTCCCAAAAAACCCCAAAATTTTCCCCAAAACCCCAAAATTTCCCCCAAAACCCCAAAATTTTAAAAACCCCAATTTTTTCCCTAAAACCCCCCAAAATCCGCATTTTTTCCCCAAAACCCCATTTTTTCC